GAGGAGACCCTGCGGGAGCTGGAGAGGAACAAGAAGTCCTTCCAGGAGGACATCGAGGCGCTGCGCTCCATCTACGAGGAGAAGGAGTCGTGGTACAAGGAGGAGAACGAGAGCATCAGCCAGGACCTGCGGCAGATCCGGCAGGAGCTGCAGAAGACGGAGGCGCTGAAGAAGCAGGCGCAGGAGGAGACCAAGAGCGTGGTGCAGGCGGCCAACGGCCTCAAGCGGCGCTACCGCAAGCTGGAGAACCACTACGAGGCCCTGGCCAAGCAGGTGGCCTCGGAGATGAAGTTTGTGGAGGAGCTGGTGTGGTCCATCGAGCAGGAGAAGCAGAGCGGCGACGGCGACGGCAGTATCCGCTAAGCCGGGCGGCTCCGGCCCTTCCCGACGCCCTGCTCGCCGAGGAGCCTCCGGTCGGTCAGTGTTCCCCGGCTCTGGGGGTGTGTGGGGGGGTTGTGCTTCCCTGGAGCCCCCACCTCGGGGGGCTGGGGCTGTGCTCCCCTGGGGTTTGGCTTCCTGCGTTGTGGCTCCTGCTTGGCTCGTGGCCCCGGGCTCCTCGTCACTCCCACTGTGCTTGGGGACACTTCTCGTCACTCCCACCATGCTTGGGGACACTTCTCATCACTCTCACCACACTTGGGGACACTTCTCATCACTCCTGCTGTGCTTAGGGACACTACTCATCACTCCCACCACACTTGGGGACACTTCTTGTCACTCCCACCACACTTAGGGACACTTCTGAACACCCCCACTGTGCTTAGGGACATGTCTCATCACTCCCACTGTGCTTGGGGACGTCTCAACACTCCCACACTGCTTAGGGACACTTCTCATCACTGCCACTGTGCTTGGGGACACTTCTCATCACTCCCACCACACTTAAGGACACTTCTCAACACTCCCACTGTGCTTAGGGATTCGTCACTCCCACCACACTTAGGGACATTTCTCTTTGCTCCCACTGTGCTTGGGGACACTTCTCATCACTCCCACCATGCTTGGGGACACTCCTCAACACTCCCACTGTGCTTGGGGACACTGCTCATCACTCCCACACTGCTTAGGGACACTGCTCATCACTCCCACCATGCTTGGGGACACTCCTTGTCCCACGCAGGTCCCCGAGGGAGGTTTGGTGGGCAGACCCCCCCTCTGCCCACACACAGGCCGGGACCAAGGACTGATCCCCACGTGGCCCCCTGGGTGACCCCCAGGTGACCCCTGGGTGACCCCTGTGCCCCCCGGGGTGCTGCCCCCTCTGCCCCCCAGCCCAGCCTTCACTCTGACCAGAATAAAGGTGTCTGTGTAACGGGGTGGCTGCCTCAGCTCCTGCCATGGGAGAGGGGCAGCGATGTTCTGTGGGGTGACAACCCCTCTGCTGTGCTCCCATCCCAGAGGGATTCCGAAATCCGGGAGGCAAAAGGTGGTTTTTTTGCCTTATCAGCCCCAGCAGTGGCAGGTGAGCTCACTGTGGGCATGGAGGGGGCTCTAGGGATGGGTCCCCTCTTGCCTGGGCCCCAGTGCAGGTCTGGGGTGGTCAGGGAAGGTTGAGGGATGTTTTGTGGAATTGGAGAAGGTCTGTGGGATTTGGGGCTCGAGGAAGGCCCCTGGGTATGGGGAGGGTCCCAGGGTTTCTGTGGTGTCCCAACACTTCCTAAGGGATCTTCTTTTCCTAGGGGACCAGCCAGATCTCATTTGACTTGGGGGTGGAGTGGGTAGGGAATTATCCCCTGGGAAGGGCTGATGAGGGTTGTGCCATCACTGGCAAGTGGGAAGAGCAGCCAGTGGCTGGACTGGGGGCCCAGCACGGGCCAGACCCCTCCCCTCTCCCCTCCCCTCCTGGGACAGAGGGGACAAGGTTCACAAGCCTTCAGCGGGGCACGTGCCAGAGCCTGGGAGGGGCTTTCCTCTGGGAGGGGCTTTTCCTCTGGACTTTCCAGCTGCCCGTGGCCCCGGAGCCAAGATGCAGCTGAATTTGATCGGGGGGAATCACCAGCAAATCCCGGGGGTGGCTGGCAGGCGTCCCCCTGGCTGGCCACGCTGGGCCGGGGGGGGGCTGTGGTGGCTTCACCCCCGGCTCAGCTCCGGGCCCAGGGGCTTTGCTCCATTTAGGATTTATTTGTCACTCCCTGGGGGTCTGGAGGGGCCGTGTCCCGTGTCCCTGCCCCTTGCTGACGTCCCCACGGGTGTAGGTTTCATCCCAACCCGTGGGCCACGTGGACCTGCTGGGAATTTGATCCGCCCTGGTTTTCCATGCCAAGGCACTCGGCTCCCAGGGGTGACGTGTGACCGGGGCTGTCCCGGTGTCCCAGGGCTGTGCCACGTCCCTGGGCACACATCCCCTGGGCTGGAGCAGGGATCTGACCGTGGTGGGCAACGCCAGAGCCTGGCTGGGGGCTTGGAATCACCAGCTTCCCTCTGGATGCTGCATCCCAGGGCTCCGGGGGAGACTTCGGGGTGCGGATTCAGCTGGAGCCGCGGCCATTTGATCCGCTGGCAGGGACCTGGGGTGAGAGGATGTATGGAAATCCTGTAGCACCGCCTGTTCCCGACCCTGCAAAGTTCACATAGTGCGAAGGCTTCCCGGATTCTCCTCGTGCCGAGGGCTTTGGTTTCACGCTCCCAAAAAACTCTTGGAAGGCACCGGTCATTCAGCCCGGCCGGGAGGTGCCCTGCCCTGGAGAGGGAGCAGCAAGGGGGGTCTTAGCCAGGGGGATGCACAAAAAAACCTCCAAAATAATTTTTAAAAAGCAGGATTTGGGGTGTTCTGGTGCTGCCACAGCTGCAAAAAGGGGGGAAAGAGAGATTTGCTGGGGAGAGAGTGTCCAGGAGCTGAAATACTGCCAGGAAGCTGGGAGTTCCAGTGGGATGGGAGGAGGCTGAGGGAGCTGGGGGGACTCAACCTGGAGAAAAGGAGGCTCAGGGGGGACCTTCTGGCTCTGCAATTCCCTGACAGGAGGGGGGAGCCCTGCTGGGCTCTGCTCCCAGGGAACAAGGGGCAGGACGAGAGGAAACAGCCTCAAGCTGTGCCAGGGGAGGTTTAGGTTGGATATCAGGGAAAATTTCTTCATGGAAGGGTTGGTCAGGCACTGGAAAAGGATGCCCAGGGCAGTGGTGGAGTCGCCATCCCTACAGGGATTTAAAAGCCGTGTGGATGTGGCCCCTGGGGACGTGGATTAGTGGTGACCTTGGCAGTGCTGGGGGAACTCTTGGATTTGATGGTCTTAGAGGGCTTCTCAGGCTCAACAATTCCATGATTTCGTGATTCTGCAAATATTAAACCCCTTAGGAAGTCGTGTCGTGCTCGGAGCTGAGGGGATGTGCTGCTCCCATGAGATTCCGGTGCTGGGACATCCCAGGATGTTCCGCCTCCATCCCCCTCCTTGCAGCCAGAGCTGACACCACCCTGGGATGTTTCATTCTCTGTGATCAGACAATACCAAAATGCCTTTTTTAGGCTTTAATTCCCGCTTCCCAGAGCCTGGTGGGAGGCGGGAGCGAGGCTTTTTTTTTCCCTTATAAGTCTTCCCAAAATCCAAACAGTCCCGCACGGCCTCAACCAACCCGTGAACACGCAGGAAACCCCCCCAGAAACTCCGAGCTGCATCCCACTGGGATCTCTTTTCCTGCCAGGGAGCTGAGCTGCAGCTAATCCGTGGGAAATGCTCCGTGTGCCGATGTCCGACGGATGCAGGAACGTGGGTGACAGGTCCCGGTGCGGGTGACAGGGCGCAGCAGGGTGTCCTTGGCCGGGGTGTTCCTCAGCCCTGGAATGGTGTAATCAGAGTGGTGTGGGTCTCCCCAGGCACGCTCGGGGCTGGGAATAGCCTGGGGAATCCAGGGGGATTCCAGAGGGATCCACATCTCCTCTGAGCACGGCATCCCCGCTCCAGAAAATAAGCGGGAGTAAGACAAGGATGAGGTGGTGGATGTGGCTCCCCTGCGGCTGCTGAAAACACCCCCTGGAACAGGGTGGGGTTTTTCGGTGATTCCTCACTACTCTGTGGCAGCTGCTTTTCCAGAGCACTGTTTCTAACTCAGGCCCCAAAATCTTGGGAAGGGACCCACCCACCAGCCAAGTTATTCCAGTGGCTGTGGAGCTCATCCCACGGGAGGTTTTGTACTGACACGGCCCTGCACGTGCTCAGGGACATCATTCCCATGGCACTGCTGGTTTTAGCCACTGTATTCCCAGAGAATCAGCACATTTTGGGGTGCTCCATCTCACCCCAGTGTTAATTAACCTGCTCAGCTAATTACAGTGGTGTGGACTGTCAGAGTGAGCCAAGGACACCCCAGGGCTGCCCTGGAGTTGTCCCCTAAGGCTCAGGAGTGATCCCGCCTGGAATGGGCTCACCCAGGCCCTGGCCGTGTGTGTCCATGGTTTAAACACATCCCCCTCCCCTCCTGTGGGACCCAAGAGGTCTCCAGCACCCACCAGGTGTCCAGAGGAGGGATCCCAGGCTGGAATTCACATCCACAGGGAGTTAAGGATGGGTCAGTCAGCAAACAGCCCCCCCCAGAGCCCCGAGGGGGTCTCAGTGCCTCTCCTTTCAAACTGAAATTCGGGTGGTGGTTTAGTGTGAACTCCTGAAATGCTTCCTAAGGGAGCACAGTTCTAAGTTCTCATCCCCTGAGAAATCCCACCAGCTCATCTTGAATTCCCAAGGCCATTCCCACCTTGCTGGGGCCCCGTCAGGAGCCCCCAAACCCAACCAGGGCCATTCCCACCTCGCTGGGGGCCCACTGGGAGCCCCCAAACCCAACCAGGGCCATTCCCACCTCACTGGGGGCCCATTGGGAGCCCCCAAACCCAACCAGGGCCATTCCCACCTCACTGGGGGCCCATTGGGAGCCCCCAAACCCAGCCAGCGACACGAGGAAGGAGCTCTGAGGCCACCCAGGGCTGGGATTTCAAACACACAACAGAAAAGGGGGGTGGTGTCATATTTTGGGGGAGTTTCATGCCCAGATGAATTAAATCAGGACCTGAGAGGGAGATTTAAGTGGATTTTTACTGAATTTGAGAGATGATATTACAAACAAGCCGTTGCCTGAAGCCTTTTTGTCTGCAGGAGCAGGAGGTTTGTTGTTTTCCCAGCGCAGCTCTACTTGGTCTGCTATAAAAATGCTTTTCCAACTTCTCTTTGGAATATAAAATAATTAAAAAAAAAAAACAACAAACAACAACAAAACAAAACCAAAAAACCCACCAAGGCCATCCTGTCCATGGGGTTGGGAATAAGTTATCCTCAGTTTTCAATTATATACAGAAGGGACTTGCCAAAGGGCAGTGGGAGAAGAGTTTCCACAAATAAACCCTCCTTCCCACTTCCAAGTATTATTTACATCGGGCTGTACATGGGTCTTCCAGGTCTTCCCAGACCCTGGAAAGCAAGAAGGGAAAGGATGAGTATCCAAGGTGTTTCCAGCACGATCCCCCCCCTGTTCCAGCCCTCCCAGGAGGTATTTTATTTACCTATGAGCAATTTAAAAGCTTGTTGTGAATATCTTCAAAGACTTGGTTGTACAGTTCTTCCCTCGACTTCAGGCCATCTAAATAAACTGGGAAAGGGAAAAAAAAAAAAAGCTGGAGTCAGGCTGGAGTCTTTTCCATCAGGAAAAGATTTTGGGAGATTAGTTTGAAATATTAGCTTTAAAATATTTCAGATTTTACTGGCCCCAATGACAACTTGTTTCTCTATTGGAAAAAAACCAACCATCCCAAAAACAGAACGTGCTGCAAAATCCTTATTCCATTATAAAGAATTCCTGCTTTTTATTTATTTATTTTTTTAATCCCTTATAAGTCCTCAGAGTATGAAGCAAAGGGAATGAGTTCCCAGCTATAAAACTGCCTGTATTTATCCAGACAAACGGGGCCAGGATTACAACTTGGGAGTAAAAATAGGACTTTGCATCATTACAGCTGAGGTTTTCTTGGATTGAATCACCCAATTCCTTAAATTCCCAACTCCAGGGCCGAAGGATTTGTGTTTGGGGAGGACTTACCAACATCCACACCACAGTCCTCCATCTCCTTCCTGTGCTTTAAGTACATGGGCCAGACGTGTCCGTCGAAGAGGCCGGGGGGGTCGGGAACGGTGTAATTCCGTGTGCTGGGAATGACAGCATGGAAAAGGAATGGCACGGTGATCCAACAGCTGCTCCGGGGTGCTCATGGAAAAGCTGATTGTCACGGGCCAGTTCCTCGTGGATTGGAGCAAAGGAGGCTCAGGGGGGACCTTCTGGCTCTCCACAAATCCCTGGCAGGAGGGGGGAGCCGGGGGGGAGTCGGGCTCTGCTCCCAGGGGCCAGGACGAGAAGGAACGGCCTCATGTTGCACCAGAGGGGGTTTAAAGTGGAGATTAGGGACAAAAAAATTCATGGAAAGGGTTGGGAAGTGTTGGAACAGGCTGCCCAGGGCAGTGGTGGAGGCACCAGCCCTGGGAGTGTCCAAAACCATGTGGAGGTGGCCCTTGGGGACACGGGGGAGGATGGACACGGTGACGGTTGGACTCAACCTCAGGGGTCCTTCCCGACCTCAGCGATTCAGTGACTCTGAGTTTAGCACCTGGAAGTCTCTTTCTCCACTTTTATTCAAATTTCCCACTCTGAACACCAATACATCCCATCCATTGTGGGCTCCAAATCCCTGGAAGTGTCCAAGGCCAGGTTGGACGGGGCTTGGAGCAACCTGGGCTAGCGGAAGGTGTCCCTGCCCGGGGCAGGGGGGTGGAATCAAACAATCTCTAAGGTCCCTTCCAACCAAACCACCCCATGATTCCATGATTAATAACAAGGTAGAGGGATCTTTCCTTTAGCAGAAAGAAGGATTAGGTTGACACCAAAGAACCTTCTCACCTTCTCCTCCTCTTGCACTCGTCGTACGGCACCGCCAGGTAGTAACGGATGTCAAACAGGTCTATCAGTGGTCTGGGGGAGGGGAGAGACAAAAAACGTGGATTATCTAATTTTTAATGACAGAGAAAAGTGTTAAATCACCCCAAAAATCTCTCTGCCTCTCTGGGGTTTGTGTCTGTTGAAGACAACCCAGGTGTGAGTTCTTTCCTCGGGGGCAGTGGGTTTGTGGGTTGGTATAAACCGTGGAGAAGGTGTTTTCTGAAGGTCAGAGTGGCAAGGGAGGGGCTTTTCCCACTCAAATACCTGCCACTAATCCTGAGGAGGATCACACAGGATCCTGTGGGGGAGCAGACACCAGGCTGGGAACCCTGGCTCGTTCTAGATCCTTCCAAACTCAGCGTGCAGGAACCCAAAGCTGTGATTCACCAACCAAACCAAATCAAACCCCGGGGCTGTGAGAATATGCAGCAAAATTTGGGACAAGGCAACTCCTTGGCTCATGTTCACACTCATGGAAGTGTCCAAGGCCAGCTTGGACAGGGCCTGGAGCAACCTGGTCTAGTGGAAGGTGTCCCTGCCCAGGGCAGGGACTTGGAACTGGATGAGCTTTAATGTCCCTTCCAACCCAGGGGAGAGAGGAACAAGGGGAAACAGCCTCGAGCTGTGCCAGGGGAGGGTCAGATTGGACATTGGAGGGAATTTCCTCATGGAAAAGGGTGCTCAGGCATTGGAAGGGGCTGCCCAGGGGGGGTTGGAGTCCCCACCCCTGGAGGTGTCCGAGGAAGGACTGAACGTGGCCCTCAGTGCTCTGGGCTGGGGGACAGGGAGGGGCACAGGTTGGACTCAAGGGGCTGGGAGGGCTTTTCCAACCTCAGTGATTCCATGAAGCTCCAGTTTTGATGGTGGAATATTCCCTCTGGGCAAAGGAAAGGCTGTGGGAACAGGGCTGAGCATTTCAGGGGTGTTTGTGTCCTTCAGGAGACACCAGAGTTGCTCCCTGGGGAGAGGCCAGGAGCGGGAGGCGCTTTGCCAGCCCCATCTCCAGTTGGCCATTCCTGACAGGATTAATCCCAGGCTGCCTCCATGTTCCCCCCAGTTTGGGAAGCTGGGATGGTGCTGTCTTGTCTGGTACAGCCTGTAACAGCTCCAGCTTTGCCAAGTGTCACAAACAGCTCCTTCTCCTGAAAGGATTTTGTCAACAAAACTCCACTTTGGAGCCAAGAACGTTTCGCTCCCCACGTCTGCTGGGGGTGATTGGCTGAAGTTTATATATTTAGCTATTGGAATTTTTCTCTCTCTCTCCCCTGCCAGTTCTGCCTCCCCTTCTTCCTGCCAAGAATTTCCCTGCCCTGTATAAAAAAGGCAAAAAATGGGGTGATCTTCGCTGTGATGTTCACTCGGAATCCTGGAGTGGGTTGGGTTGGAAGGGATCTTAAACCCATCTCATCCCATCTCCCACTGTCCCAGGTTGCTCCAAGTCCTGTCCAACCTGACCTTGAAGTTACCTAATTATTAAGCTCAGTTTAGTCAGGGTTAAACAAGTGAGAGAACTGTTCCTGAATTCCAGGAGAGGTCCCAAGCAGTGAATTGTTTATCTCCTTGCTCTCATCCATGAGCTTTTGGGTGGGAGTGAGGGAGATTCCAGCTCAAATCCTGGTCTAAACCCCCCCTGGAGTTTTAGAAAAACTCCCATTATCCCCTTCACTTTTTTTTCAGGGTTTAGGGATTAATTTTTTTACATTTTCCAGCAAAAACTCTTCGGGGTGACAATTCAGAACAAGGCAGGGGATTAGTAAAAAAAAAAAAAAAAGGAGTTTTTAGCTGTGGCACGAGGGACCTTCCCTGGCAAACCACGGATAGTTCCCCAAACCTTACTTGTAATTATAAAGCAGGAAGCCTTCAATGACCAATATATGGATATCTTGGGAAGTTGGCTCTTTAGAGCCAGGTGTGACATTCACCCCGTGGGAACGGGCAAACTTCACTGGGTTCTCAATCCAGGCCCGCACCGTGCTCACCATTGCCTCCATATCCAGGGAATCCAACACTGGATCGGGAGAAAGGGGGTGGGGTGGGGAAAAAGGGGACACGATCAAAACACCACGAAACCGCAAGGGGAAAGAGTCAAAACAACAACAACAACAAAAAAAAAATAAACAAAACAGGATGAACTTGTAGGAATTAACAGAAATTTTACCGTTAAGGCTTTTTTTAAATAATTTAAAAAAAAAAAAAAAAAAGAAAAGGAATACTTAGGAAAAAAATATACATTACTGCATCCTATAGCGAACACTGCTCTTACCATCCCATTGTTTAAAGCCGTCTTCCCCGACTTCTATTTGATCTTGTGGCTGAAATATAGTGAGCAATAAAACATTGCTGCAACCTCAGCGTGATCAGTTCCCTGCGAGCCGATCAGCACAGACCCCCTCCGGGCAACGTGAACATTTCCATTCCCGTCTCTCTCTCTCTCACCAACCCCAAGAGCTCGGAAAAGTTTGGCCTGGCTCGGGCGAACCGGCTTTGGATAAAAGGCTTTGAGCTTAAATCCCTTGATAGGGTGTTAGTAAAAAAAATAGAGATCGATATTTAAGGGTTTGAAATGCAAATATGGTGTTAAGTAAGTGCTAAAAGTCGCGTTTTACAAGAATAGGTGTTTTAACTCTAATAAAAACGCAGGTGGGCACAGCAGCGCTTTGGTCACACGGTTACAGCTCTGGTGTTCACAGGAGGGAGAAGTTACAGATCTTTGTGGGATAATAAACACAATTCCTCCTCCAAGGGCTCCTAAGTGACCAAATCTGTGCAGGAGGCTTCTGGCAAAGCTTTTCCAAAGGAATATCTCGCTCTGCTTGGCACCTGCTCCTGTGAGGGCAGGGCAGACCCAGCACACGGTGCTGGAGCACCTCACGTTTTAGGGGGTGACACAGAACTGCTCCAAGGACATTCCTGCATCTCTTGGACTTCCACGTGGGATATTGTCATTCCCAAGGAATGGTGCAGTGCTTTAGTGACATGGTTCTGCACCTCCAAGCAGGAGGCAGCAAGCAAAGGTCTTCTGCTTTCACCTCTGCAACATTTTAGTTGGGTTCTGATGCAGAGCTGTCAGAGCTCCCCAATAAAACCCCCTTTCTGTATTTAAACCAGCACAGAGGTGCTTTAAACCCCAAAGTATCATTTAGGAGCCACGTTCTTACTCGAGTAAAATAAGGAGGGAAAACCCCAAATGCAGAAAATTATTTGTGCAGAGCACAGTAAAGAACCTCTGACTGAAACGAGCAGTTATATCTGTAGGTTATATCTGTAGTTAACACTAAAAGACCTCTCTGAGCTGGGTCATGCCAAGTTCACGTGGCATTTGTAAAGGTCAGGAACACCCCACCTGTCCAGTCATTTAAAAATTAGAGATATATTTTTTAAAAAAACCCACCACCTAAAATCGGGAAGTGTGTGGCTCCTAAGCTGTCCAAACTGACTGGGTGAGCATGCAGGAGCACCCAACACTGCCAGGGGGCCCAGCACAGCTATCCCTGCGCAGACAAGCAGCAAATAACGCTGGGAGGAAGAGGGGGCTCGGCTTACCTTGAAGAAATCGTCCTGGTGGACCACGCAGCAGTTGGGGAGAGCCTTGACGAGCCTGTTGGTCAGGGTGGTTTTGCCACCATTGGTGACACTGCACGGGGGGCGACACAGAGGTGGGAGAACCACGTTAGAACTGGGTTAGAGCCGGGTCTGAGGGACACTGGGACACCCGGGCTGTGGGGGGACCTCCAGGCCTGAAGGAGCAGAGCCCTGAAGGACCTGGGGTCCATGGGGGGGGGACCCTGAGGGACCAAAGCCTCTGAGGGGACTCAGCTCTGACCTGCCCTGAGGGACCCAAACTCCTGCCCATAGGGCGAGACCCTGAGGGACCTTGGTCAGTGAGGGGACACAGGTTCTGACCTGCCCCGGGGGACCGGAACCCCGGCCCATGAGGGGAGACTCTGACAGACCCGAGCCCATGAGGGGACCCGACCCCCTGCCCCTGGGGGGGAGACCCTGAGGGTCGCGGGCTCTGACCCGCCCTGAGGGACCCAAACCGCGCCCGCCACGTTCGAATTTCCCGCCTCTCCAACGCCGGCCGCCGATTGGCTGCGACCGCCCCCCGCCCCGCCCCTTTCCCGGCCGCCGATTGGCTGTGACCTCCTCTCCTCGGCCCCGCCCCTTCGAGAGGCGCGCGCGCGCGCGCGGGGCCGCGTGTAACGGCCGCGCCGGTTCCCGCGCGCGCGCAACGGCCGCGCTGAGGGCAGCGCGCGGGGCGCCGCGGCCGCCATTGCCGGCCCGGCACAGCCGAGACCCCTCAGCGGCCGCCATTGCCGGCCCGGCACAGCCGAGACCCCTCAGCGGCCGCCATGGCCGGCCCGGCACAGCCGAGACCCCTCAGCGGCCGCCATGGCCGGCCCGGCACAGCCGAGACCCCTCAGCGGCCGCCATGGCCGGCCCTTCTCAGCCGAGACCCCTGAGGGGCCGCCATGGCCGCCCCCTCACAGTTCGCCCCCTCACAGCCGCCGCTCCCTGCTCGCTCTGGGGACACCCGGCCCAAGATGGGGCCGCCGAGCCGCCCCCGCTCCGCTCCCTCCGGGCGCCCTCCCAGCCCTTCCCCGCGGGCTCCGCTCCCTCAGGGCGGCGCAGGATCCCTTGTGTAAAACGCCTGAATAATCGTCCTCTCCCATGGAGAGCTCGTTCCTCTCTAATAGGTTCGTATTTTATCCCAAGGCTGTACAAATCCCTCAGTCCTATATTATTAATATAATAATAATCCACATTATCCGCCAACGCTCCTTTCCCCAAACCCTCCTGCTGTGCTCTCGTGCTGTCCCAGCGCACGCAGACTTCCTAAATCCTACTTTTTAAAGAACATTGAAAGCTTTTTACACGCCACCACCCCCCTGTCTCGTTTGAAACAGGATTTTCTCCCTCGTGGTCTTTCAGAGAAGGTTTTAACAGAAATTTTTTGTCTCTGTGACCTCTGAATTTACTTGAGATACTTTTTTCCCCTCTCAGCATCCCTCCTATTAAGCCTATAAAAGGATATATAAAACCATAGATAAAAATATATACATATAGGCACAAATATATAAAAATTGTATATATAAATACACAAAGAGTGTATATAAATTTATAAAAGTATATAAATAAGTGTATATAAAAGTATATGCTGCCCTGCAGAGCTCTTTATATTGAAGCACCATCTGTTCTGTTAGTCCTATACAAGTACATATAAAAGGATACATAAAAT